TGCCCTCTGATCAACTTGATCATTCGGGAAGTCGGTGCTAGTAGAGACTAGTAGTTAAGTAGAGCCGGGCCCCGTTTCCGCACCGTCGTGCGGCGCGGCGCACGGTGCCTCCGGGGGCCCCCGCCTCCCCCCAGAGGTGTGTGGCTCCCTGGGTGTATCTCTTGGCGGAGCGAGAAAACGGCGTGCGCGCGGTGCGTCGCGGGCGTCTGGGGGGCGTGTCGTGGGCGTGTCGTGGGCGTGTCGGGGGCGTGTCGTGGGCGTGTCGTGGGCGTGTCGTGGGCGTGTCGTGGGCGTGTCGTGGGCGTGTCGTGGGCGTGTCGTGGGCGTGTCGTGAGACCTGCTCGACCGCCTCACTCTCCACGCCCTCCACGGGGAGAGGCGAGGAAGAGGAGTACTACTACCGCCCCTACTCGCACTAGCAGGCGCCTGCTCGACCGCCTCATTCTCGACGCCTAGAGGACAGTTCGGGGGCGGTTCAGGGACGGTTCAGGGCCGGTTCAGGGGCGGTTCCTCATTCTCGACGCGAGGCGGGGGCGAGGGAGGCGGGGGCGAGGGTGGCGGCGGAGAGGGCGGCGGAGAGGGAGGCGGTGGAGAGGGTGGTGGAGGAGAGGGCGGCGGAGAGGGAGGCGGTGGAGAGGGTGGCGGCGGAGAGGGAGGCGGTGGAGATGGAGGCGGTGGATAGGGAGGCGGGGGCGAGGGTGGTGGCGCCCTCGGGCTTCTCCTCGTCGAGGTGGAGCTCGATGTGCTTGGCGTCGATCAGCGTGACGATCCCGTCCAGCCGCGCAAACGCCTGGTGGATGGGTTGGCGAGGTCCCCAGGCAGTGCTGCATGAGGATGGTACAGGCAGTGATGCATGAGGATGGTACAGGCAGTGATGCATGAGGATGGTACAGGCAGGGGTGCGTGGCTCGAGGGGAGTGGTGGGGCGGAGCGGCGATCAAGAGGGGAGCTCTCCCGTTGATCAAGAGGGGAAGTCTCTCCCGCTTACCGCCTCCCACAAGTGCGCGGGGAGGGGGGAAGGGGGGGGGGGGGGGAGGCAGCGGTGGTGTAGGAGGTGGTGCCGGTGCCATTGCTGTCTGCTCGCAAGGGGATACCACCGGAGCTGTCCCAGGCTCCGGGGCGCTTGTGCGTCAGGCCCCCACCGTTTCGGCCATCCTGAAAGGGGGGGGGGGGGGGGGGCCGGGGAAAGGGGCGGGGGGGGGGGGGGGCCCCCCCCCTTTAGGGGGCCCCCAAAAAAAAAAGTTTTCCCCATTGGGGCGGGGTCCCCAAAGCCCGGGGTCCTCAAAAAAATCCCCCCAAATTTTGGTTTTCCCCAACGAACCCCTTTGG